CTTTTGCTTCGAGTAGTTCCGAATACTAACTGACTGCGTGCCATCTCTGCAACGCTTTTATAGTCGAGACGAAATCCCTAGAATCGTCGAGAATATTCAACAAAAATCTAGTATTGTGTGTTTCCGCTATCTGACAATACATGACGTTGTACTTCTCGAGCGTTCTAGATGTTACTAGATAATTCGATATTCGTTCGACTATTCGGCGATAGATGGCGTTACTCTTACCGACGTAAAAATACGTACATAGATAAGCAAACGATAATCGATTTAAAACTTCTAATGATTGGTTTTAACGTAATATGAAAACAGATTAAATTATCAGTATTATTCTCTTAAACGAATACGTTTCGTTTTTCAATTGGATAATCTGATATTTTTTTAGGTTTTTTTTATTTATTTCATTTAATTTAATTTATTAATTTTAATAAACGCTTTAAGGAACTAATAACGAGATTTTAATAAGATTTTCCGTTTATTCATATATCATACGTCGTATATGGACACGATATCGCTATGTTGCGGTTCGTATCTTGCTGACAATTTTCAATTTTTCAATTCGTGAACACAGTTGGAAGGGATAACACCGTGCAATAAAATTAACATTAATAATTACGAACGGAACGGAAACAACAGTTATACAGTTGTGGCTTCGACTTAAGATATGATTAAGTAAGAGCGACATTCATGTCGTGATATCATAGGCTCAGGACTCAGATAACCATTAAGCATCAGGTGAGACACGAGCTCATTTACCCAGATAGTGCTGAAATAATTAAAATTACATCTTTGACTAATAAACAAATAATAAAAAAAGCCAAATTAGAGACAATTAAAAATAAAGATAGTATTACAACTGTTTTAACTATTGATTGACCTTTGTTCGTAAGCAACAGTGTTCTGTTATGAATCAAAATGATTGAATGTCAGAGAAGTCATAATCGGAAGCCCTTGGGCTAAAATATTATAATTTCAACGACAAAAGAAAGGTCCGCTTCGCAAACATTATTTCCATCTGTATATTTCCCTTGAGGTGTGCCACTGGACTTAACAAGAACGATCCGAGGGAGCCTTGTTTAGTAACTTACTTGCAGTGCTAACTTCGAAACCATGCCATCATTCAATTTATTCCATAAATGTTAAATTTTATCCATATATAATACTTATCCACAAATTCATAAGAATACCTAGTAATTATTTCCTAGCTAGAATGATAGATGATATCTCAGCGTAAGTGAAGCACAGCTGCCATCTATCGTAAGACATGACTTCGAAATTTTAAAAATACTGTCTGAGTGGAAAAAATCATGACAACGATTCGATTGATTATTCTTATTTTTGCTGACCTTATCTATTTTTATTTTTATTTTACCGTAACTCATAGTCATCAAAGAGTACCCTGAGGTGACTACCTCAATTGTATTGTATAGTGGCTATCCCACCTTTCAAATAGGCGGGAAAGTGGCTAGACCGGAGTTCAGTTTACTTGTTTTGAAAATAAATACAAATTTTACTTATTATAAAAATCAAACATTTTTTTCCTCGTAGTTTCCTCAATTATATATACATCGCGGACGTGGACATGAATGGCGGGCGATCATGAATGGCAATGGGTATCAAAGGGCTGAAGATAAATAAAAATATATCACGGCGCTATCTTTTCACTATCATTTCTAACTGTAAGAACTAGGATCACGCAAGGTTCCGTACTTTCAAATAAGCTTGCGTTAAAAGATATCATATTCTTCAATATACTTGCATGGAACAATATGTAATATAATTATTGTATTATATATTTTTTAAATAAAAGATACAATACTCACTGTGTCTATATTGTAAATAGGATACTATTACTGATAGGTGGACATTAAATACTCAATTAGTATGTACTAGTATGTGTGTAATATAATATATTAATAAGATAGGTTTTCTCGGCCCACGCGGGTCCGTATTACACCCTGTCTATTTCCGTATCAAGGATTATGTAATGCGATTGAAGCTTGGTACAGTCATAAAAAAACAATTCGTCGAACCCATGTCTACAGGTGGGTGACAGCATTAATAATGTGATTTTTATTGGGTCCGATAATCACTAAACACCCGTGTGCTTATTGCGAGTAGTTTAACGTTCTCGATAGCGTAAAAGTTAACTCAAATTTGTATGAAGTTGGAACAGCTTCCCTTCCTTTGCTAGGGGCGCTGTTCCAACTTCATACAAATTTGAGTTAAATTTTACGCTATTGAAAACTTTAAAAAAATTGCATTAAGCACACAGGTAGCTAAGAGCAGGTTCGTCTATGTTTGCAAATTAAAAATATACATAACTAATTTTAGAAACCCTTTTTTCGCAAAAGAAATTAATGAAATCAGCTTACAAAACTGAAAAAAAAAGTGCTTCTCAGTTACCAATAACGTCATTTATACATTATTATTCTTGACAATATGTACAGTACATAATATTATTATTTTGTGAATACATTAATCCTCCTAACGGCAGGGATTTCAAAGCAGTTTGCGCTAAATTAGTTGTAACTTTAAACGTGTTGCAGGTAACTTGCCTAAGTTGCCTGTGTTGTAAATCGTAACTACGTTGTACTGTGGTAGAAGTTTATATTTGGTACAATTACACATCCAAACTTTTTTAAGTTGTTGCTTTAATTCCAAAACGTGACAATTGCAATATTAATATATTAATTAGCTCGTAAGAAATATATAATAAGTTGTAGGGTCTTTGTAATTTAACTTGTATGTTTTTTCTTTTTTTTATTATTATATTTCAATCTGTATTTTTTCTAGTTTTAGTAATTATTAAGGGACATATTTGATAATATTTTTTGATAAAAATGTCGTATTTGATATGACATATGAGTGAGTTCACTAAATTTCAGGCGTGTTACTCTTTGGAATAAAACAATTGATATATAAATTCTAGAATTCGAGGCTTTGAGGTAGTTTCACATTAAGATTCTATTGCTATCAAGTCCCATTCGGGTACAATATTTCATTTGAAGACTGAACAAAAATTATTTTGTTTCAAGGTGTAAATATCGTTGCGATTTTAAAAGGCTTTGATAGCCGCTAGAAAACCAAGGCCATCGTGAGCTAATACTAAAAATTGTCAACATATCGAAACATATGAAAGCACAATAGACAAATATATGAAATGTTACGATGTTATGAAGGCTTACCCAATACGCTGTATATTATCTCAGAAAAGACGTTTGTAATTGTCGTGGCGGGCAACCTCTTTGACAGAGCATAACACATACAACGATTAGACATAGACCAAGACAGAGACTTAACAAGAATTCCAAAATAAAGAGAGAAATGGAACGAGGGCGGACGTGATTAGCGGCAGGCAGTACTTTTAATTATAGATTATACACTTAATATTTGACTTTTAATGCCTTCCTAAAAGACGCACGCGAACCAAATGACAAGGAACCGTTCTCATATATATGTTAACGGAAATGTATGTAATCCGTCATTGTATACAATTCCTAGGAAATGTATGTAATTCCTAAAATCGCACGGAAATGTGTGAAATAATTTATATTATACTTACACATTACAGATTTCCTAGGAAATATATACATTTCCTAAATAGCAATCGGAAATGTAAAACATTTAAGATATTGGTGGGTACGCGGGGACAGCGGGACGGGTCTTGCACTATGGTCAGTTGCCATCTTGCAATCCACTGGAACCGGCCAGGGATTTAAGAAGTGCCTTTGCAAGAAAAACTGTGCTACGTCAAGATGTCTGTGTTTTAAAAATAAAGTATTATGTACTTCCAAATGCCATTCGAGCTTACCCTGCAAAAATAAATAGCTATATGGACTGACAAAGTATTATAATATAAAGATTTACTTTTATACTTTGACATTTATAATTACTTAATTATCAGACTGATACTTGCCAAATGAAAATTTGATTTTATAAGAATAAAATATATAAGTTGATTTTGTGATACGTTAAAAGTTAATAGATAGTTGATTTTAGAAGTTTTAATTAGTAAGATAATATGAACATATTATTATTATTTTACGGTATGACTTACCCGACTGTCTCAATAAGTGTTATAATAAAAAAATATCAATAACAACGTGTTTTATTACAGAAAGCATTTACTTTATACAATTCCTAATACGATATTGGAATTATATACAATTCCGAGGAAATTTATACATTTCCTAGGATATCTATGCATTAAATAGTTTTTCAAACAATATTTTATACATTTCCTAAATAGTATCGGAATTGTACACATTTCCTAGGATTTGTATACAATTCCTTGATTTCATACATTTCCGGTAACATATACACAAAATAGACGACAAAAGAACGAACCGACCATTCTGTAATATAAAAAAAAAGTTAAAAAAAACTAACAAAATACGCTTTTACAGAAAATCCAACTAAATAATAGAAAATAAATTTGAATTAAAAATAGTGTAAGAAAAAATTATTTTATTGTAAAAAAGCGTGGGGTGCTTTTCAGGATTTTATCAAAATAACCCACCCTTCTACTCATATCTGTTCATAAAATATTTATAACTACTGATACCATGCACCCCACGCTTTTTTTACAATAAAATCATTTTTTCTTACACTATTTTTAATTCAAATTTATTAAAATTGATTTTCTACTTTTTAGTTGGATCTTCTATAAAAGCGTATTTTGTTAGTTTTTTTAAACTATTATTTATTTTTCATTTTTTAATTTGATTTTAATTTTTTCAATATATATTTTTTCAATTTTTTAATATTGAATTGTCATCGGTCCTTAATAAGTATACCAAATTTCGAGTTAATCCGACGTTTTAAGCGACGCTTTTAAGGGAGTCAAAATCATGTTCAAAGATTTCGTTACAAACACACATACTAACATACATACGTCTGAAGCTAATAAAAGCGTATTAAAAAGAGAGGTGCTTCGAATCTCGATCTCATAGCAATTAATACATATGTGGTTAGTGCATTAATTTGTATTGTTGCAGAATCTCTACTACTGAGGATAGTTCGAGTGCACGTTCCTTCGTACCGAGTAAGAGGACAGCCGGCACAGCTCGAGTGTGACTATGAACTTGGAACCGACACGCTGTACTCCGTCAAGTGGTACAGGGACAATGAGGAGTTCTACAAATTCATGCCACAATACGACCCACCGAATCGAGCTTACAAATTGGAGGGTATCAAAGTTGACGTGAGTGCTCTTTTAGTTTACAAATTTAAGAGTTGCATAGGATGGAAGTGTTTTAGTCCCATATGCGTGCATATTTTAGTGCCAATCATTAAAATACTCCAGTGGGCACTAAAACGTCAATTTCTTCGAATATCTCGTGGCACTAAGTCACAAAGGCAATATTTTGCATGCTCATCTCTAATTTGGATGGCATCCACGATTGCTCATGTTTGGTGGTAACCAGCTGTGATAATCGCCAAACTTGATTTCAACGATAATTTCGTGAGATTGTTTTATAGTTTATTTAACCGAGTTTGAATGGCTAAATTCTGCTCCAAAAAAAAATCATCCTTTTAAGGATGATGTTTTAAGGATGATTTTAAGGATGATTATTTTAGTTATTTATTACATTATGTTATCCTTATCCTTAAAAGGATGATTTTTTTAAATTACGATTATACTTTTTAGACGACTATTTTACAATTCACTTGAGACTTCAATCTAATATATCAACGTGAGAGGGGCGGCATACACGGTATGATGTATCTGGAGATCCAAGTGACCCAAAAGGCCCAAGTTAAGACTAGATGAATTTTTAGTTCATAATAATATGTCTTTCTAGAACAATTATAATCCATGGATAATGCTTACTAAGCTAAGATTTTTATGTTTTACACTATTTTTTATCGTTTCTTATATATATTTTTATATTTTACATATTTTTTTTGTAATAAAAATTTTCATTTTATGTATTATTTTTAAGGGGGGAAAGATGTAGTGGGCTTGGCTTAGTCTGTGTCGAGTTGTCGTACAATAAACAGATTGCAAACCTTTTTTTTTTATTGCCTTTGTAGGCATACGAGCATACGGCCCACCTGATGGTGAGTGGTTACCGTCGCCCATGGCCTTTAGCAATGCCAAGGGCAGAGCCAAGCCGCTGCCTACCGCTTAATACTCTCCACAAGCCTCGTTTGAAGAAGGACATGTCATAGCGCTCGGGAAACACCGTGGAGGGGAGCTCATTCCATAGCCGGATGGTACGTGTCAAAAAAGATCTCTGGAAACGCACTGTGGATGACCACAGTGGCTCCAGGTAGTATGGATGAACTCTACTCCGGTGGCGGGCGGTGCGATGGTAAAAACGAGACGTTGGTATCATCTCGAACAATTCCTCAGAGCACTCCCCATGGAACATGCGGTACAAAATACAGAGGGAACCGAAGTCCCTCCGCAGACCCAGAGGCTCCAAACGATCCGTGAGAATGGGATTATCGACAATCCGNAACTCTACTCCGGTGGCGGGCGGTGCGATGGTAAAAACGAGACGTTGGTATCATCTCGAACAATTCCTCAGAGCACTCCCCATGGAACATGCGGTACAAAATACAGAGGGAACCGAAGTCCCTCCGCAGACCCAGAGGCTCCAAACGATCCGTGAGAATGGGATTATCGACAATCCGAACGGCTCTCTTCTGTATGGAGTCAAATGAAAGAAGCTGGTATTTGGGAGCCCCGGCCCAGAGATGGGAGCAGTACTCCACGCGAGTCCGGACTTGTACTTTATAGAGCAAAAGTCTTTGTCCAGGTGTGAAGTACCGCTTGGCTCTGTTGAGGACTCCCAGCATTTTGGACGCCAACTTGGCTTTGCCTTCCAAATGACTCCGAAACTGGACATCGCTCGAAATATCGACCCCAAGTATCCCAATACTCTCGGAAGGTTGCAGGGATACTCCTTGGAATTGCGGCGCCATGACAAAGGGGTCCTTCTTCGCAAACTGCCGTGTCTTGTGAATAATTATCACCTGAGTATATAAAAGAACAAGAGGGTATATAAGAAACAATTCCATATAACAGAATTTTGAATAATTTAATATAAGATATGCTTTGAGCGAAATACAGATTGGATACAGTGAAATATCTTCAGAGGAAAATTACTGAGTATAATTTAAAAGGTTTTTCGTAGAATCTCGTTTTACAAAGAGGTAATGTAGTTCGGTTATCTACTCCGAACACAATGGGATATCGAGAAACACTGTACAATAGATACCGAGGTTGTTAGAATCGAACTGAAAGCTTACAATCCATGTGAGAATACTTTGGAGTATATTCAATAGTTGGTGGCTTCGTAAATTATAAATGGAGAAAAAGATTGACCAGTACATAATAAGCGTATTCACATTACTTGGTATCATGAAGTGGGCTTGAGCTCTAGCTTAAAAGTAAATTAATTGAACTCTGAATAATACGTTGAAATTATTAATGCTGATGTTTCGTTATTAAGTAACAAGAATACCCAATTATTGGAATCGTTGATTCGTCTTTTAAATTCCAACCAAATGTTTCACTTATATAGTTGAATATTCACTTCTAATTGAGAGTTTCCACGGATATTTTTCATTACTGCAATTCACATTTTACTATGTTTGTAACAACACTAGTAATATTTATATGACTTTATATTTTGGACGTGTTTTTATTTTTATTTACCTTGTAGAAAAGCTAGCATACTGCATACGGCCCATCTAATGGTGGGTGGTTACCGTCGCTAATAAATGGTAACAAAGTTTGAAGTCGTCGTGGCCTAAAGAATAAGACTTCCGGTCCATTCGTATCGAGCGATGCACCAGTGTTTGATAATGAAATACGTACTTAACAAAATATGTTCACGATTGACTTCCACGGTGAAGGAATAACATCGTGTAATAGAAATCAAACCTGATAAATTATAATTTAAAATATAACGGCCGTCTGGTGTAGTGGTAAGTGACATGGTCACTACACAAGGGAGTCGCGGGTTCTAATCCCGCCAAGGGAAGATATTTGTATGACAAATATAAATGTCTTTTCCAGGGTTATGGATGTATATTAAATATTAAATATATGTATGTGTATAATAAAAATCTTACATTTATTTCCGTTATCTGGTACCTGTAACACAAGTTCTTTACGAACTTAGCACGGGATCAGTTAACGTGGCGTGATTGTTATTAAAAAAAAAAAGTGACAGGGCCGTAGCCAAATCGTTGCCTACCGCTGAGTTCTCTCCATAAACCTCGTTTGAAGAAAGACACGTGATAGCGCTCAAGAAAAATGTAATCGTAAACTACAAATCATGTAAAAGAAACTAATTAATAACAAGAACATAATAAAAATACATATATAATAATATACACAAAAAATATAAATCAATTTATTGGTTGGATATCTCGAGTTTTTTTTTCCCTTTTAGTAATTTCTCCAGTTAGGCCTGCGTATCTTCATATAGTTAGTTCATTCGTCTCACAAAAAAAAATACATACCCTATACTTTAACACGAAAATTTACAAACACACATTATTATTAATGCTCATGTATTTGCGTCATACGGGAAGACTTACCAATGATTCTCTACTGCCGTATAAGACGTATAAGTTTTTTTTTTGTGTTATAGATTTATAATCATAATAATTTATTTCTTTCTTCTTTCTTTCTTTCTTTAAAAAAACAGTTTAACAATAACAAGAAGGTTTCATAAAATGATCAAAAACACGAACTTTTATCAAACAATTTTATTATAAACGGCGCCAAAAAAAGCCAATCTTTACAATGTGAATGACATTGTCGTCCTCTTCGAAAACTTATTTATATTTTATGATAAAAGTTGAATGAAAACGAAATTTATGTAATTTTTTATAGCGATCGTCTCTTGAAGCAAAAAGTCTTGTTTGTAGTTAGTTTGTTTGGACGTTAAACAGACAGACGATTTAACTTTCAAAAGAGTGTTTTTTTTCTTCAGAGAAACACTACTGGCTTTTGTTATCGAATGAATCGTTCAAGGAAATTGAATTTCTTTCAGTTTTTCAAGAGAATTTTGGCTTTACATAATTTTACTTATATACACAGCGTTATTTCTGCCTATTCGTGATACTTATATTAAAATAATACATCATAATTAAAAGAGATGCCTTAAAGCATATAATTAATTATCTTTTATATAAATAATAAATTACAGCACAAATGAGATTTCGCCCACACGTCTAAAATTATATGACGATATTTATGTAGTGATAAAATCTGATAAGCTTGAATTTCTTTCAGTTTTTCAAGAGAATTTTGGCTTTATATAATTTTACTTATATACACAGCGTTATTTCTGCCTATTCGTGATACTTATATTAAAATAATACATCATAATTAAAAGAGATGCCTTAAAGCATATAATTAATTATCTTTTATATAAATAATAAATTACAGCACAAATGAGATTTCGCCCACACGTCTAAAATTATATGACGATATTTATGTAGTGATAAAATCTGATAAGCATGAATTTCTTTCAGTTTTTCAAGAGAATTTTGGCTTTATATAATTTTACTTATATACACAGCGTTATTTCTGCCTATTCGTGATACTTATTAAAATAATACATCATAATTAAAAGAGATGCCTTAAAGCATATAATTAATTATCTTTTATATAAATAATAAATTACAGCACAAATGAGATTTCGCCTACACGTCTAAAATTATATGACGATATTTATGTAGTGATAAAATCTGATAAGCACTTAAAAATGATTGATACGTGATCTCGTGAATAATAGTAATAAAAGAATATTACTGGTGGTAGGATCTCTTGTGAGTCCGCGCGGGTAGGTACCACCGCCCTGCCTATTTCTGCCGTGAAGCAGTAATGCGTTTCGGTTTGAAGGGTGGGGCAGCTGTTGTAACTATACTTGAGACCTTAGAACTTACATCTCAAGGTGGGTGGCGCATTTACGTTGCAGATGTCCATGGGCTTCAGTAACCATTTAACACCAGGTGGGCTGTGAGCTAGTCCAACCATCTAAGCAATAAAAAAAATATATATATATCATGATTTGAAACGAAATATTTAGCTTTTTTGCCGAAGTGAGATTTCTTGATGATAGATATGGCTAAAACTTCGTCAAAGTATTGCTGATAATTAAAAAAATTGCTTGACAGTTACAAAAATCAGACGACAGAAAAGTCACGCTGCACCAGGTGACGCTTAAGTCTTCGGGTTTGTATCGTTGCGAGGTGTCTGCGGAAGCGCCTAGCTTCGCGTCTGCAGCCGGCGAGGGCAGAATGGAAGTTATATGTAAGTTTCACTACCTACGCTTAAAATTTATAATTAAGGACACCTGAGCTTCGTGTGGTACACAATTTTGTCTTTTATATTTAATTCATTTAAATTGAAATTGAATTGCATTAGCATGTGTAACAAATAATTCCTTATGAACATAAGGAATGATGTATTTTTGTTTTTACTGGTGGTAGGAGCTCTTGTGAGTCCGCACGGGTAGGTACCACCACCCCGCCTATTTCTGCCCTGAAGCAGTAATGCGTTTCGGTTTGAAGGGTGGGGAAGCCGTTGGAACAGAACTTATATCTCAAGATAGGTGGCACATTTACGTTGTACATGTCTATGGGCTCCAGTAACCACTTAACACCAGGTGGGCTGTGAGCTCGTCCACCCATCTAAACAATAAAAAAAAATCTTGAAACTAAGCTGAATACGTTTTAGAGACAAACAACGAAAGAATTGGACGTTTTAAAAATTCACCTTAAGCTCAAACAAATTCCTCATTTGGAGTTTCATTTTGAGAAAGAAAAATCCATTTGTTTTCCTTTGATCATACGAACGTGCTCAACAAGGAAACCATTTCAATTTAGAGTTCTGTTGTACATTTAACCACTGAAACTGGCTGTAGAAGTTCATAAATTACTCATATTATTTTAAATTAATGCGCAAATGCTTCCTTTTAAACTGCAAATGAAGAATAGTACTTAAATGAAATATAAGTTTAATATAATTGCCTTGAAAGTTAGACGAGCCTGCTCCCAGTTAATTGTGAGTGTATACTGTCGCTCATGGACCTAAACAATGTCCACGGCAGCTAATTCCCTTGAAAAAATCTGGTTAAATCGTTCGAAAAACACCTAGAGAGATTCATTTCAGAGATGGTAAAAATTACCGCTTGAAACACAACGATAATGACACAAGTGATTTCAGTTAAGATGCTGCTCTGTCTTAAAGCGGCTATAATAATAATATTAAGATGCATCTCGAAAAACTTCTCAAAGCACTCTCCTCGGAACCCACAGAACAATATAGATGATTCAATTACTTCGTGGTAGTTGATATACTACAACAGAGCTTTAGCGTTTGTCGTTTCTCTGCAGCGTTCAAAAACCATAAGAAAATAAAAGATGGTCGTTATTTTCCAACTTCAAGTTATATTCGTCCTCTTAGTGTGCATTGAACAGAATATGGACAGAGTCTTCTTATTCAAACTGTTTTATCTGAGTTATAAGCTTACCTAGCTGTATCATTCATAGGAAATAGCAACCAAATAAGAAACTAAATATTATATAGGGGCTTCTTCGATTCGAACTTTTAAGTATTTTTGATTAAATTTGTTTTTGCCAGATCTCCCGAGAGAAGGTCCTAAAATAACAGGTAACCAACAAGAGAACAGAAAAGGTGACTACTTGTTCCTGAACTGTACGTCAGGGAAATCGTACCCAGCTGCCGTACTCAGTTGGGATATTGACGGCGAAAAGGTAATTTAACATTTTATATAAAGTACTTGTACATAGTTACTAGTGGTAGGACCTCTTGTGAGTCCGCGCGGGTAGGTACCACCGCCCTGCCTGTTTCTGCCGTGAAGCAGTAATGCGTTTCGGTCTGAAGGGTAGGGCAGCCGTTATAACTATACTGAGATCTTAGTACTTATATCTCAAGGTGGGTGGCGCATTTACGTTGTAGATGTCTATGGGCTCCAGTAACCACTTAACACCAGGTGGGCTGTGAGCTCGTCCACATATCTAAGCAATAAAAGAAAATAAGTTTTTACTAATGTCAAACAGGCTTGAAATTACGCACTATGGATCAGGACAAACCAATCGATCTAAATGGGGAAGAACTTAGATAGTAGGCCCCCGTATTTAGGATTCAAGACATTTTAAGGTATAATCAATTTGCCAAAAAAGGAGAATGAACTAAGACGGATTAATTTGAATAGAAAAACGAGGGGTAATGTAATGAGAATGAGCAATAAATGCTCAATTTAACACGAACAGTTAAAACATAATATTCTAGACAACACATTCAACAATAATTTGTTGTACTAGAGGTCCCGCAGTAGTCGAAATTCGAATGTAATTAATTGGAATTATAAGTTTATACAGTATTATGATTGTATTTTATACTTCTATAATCACAAATTTCGCCAAGACTACACTATAAAAAATATTAACAAAGACAAACAATATTTAATCTTAATTTGACAACAGACGTCAAGAACAAAAGTTTGACAATAAATAGTATGCATGCGTGTGCGCGTCAAATACACGGTGTGTAGTGTGTGTAATGTTTTCTTTATTGATTTAATGTATCTTTTATGCATTATTTTAAAAAAATATTAGCATTGTGCACTTCTTCTCTATATTCTCTGTAAGTGTGGAAAATGTCATACTCCTCCGTCCGCGCAATTTTCATAAAAGGGATACAAAGTTTTTGCTTCACGTATTAATATATAGATTTTAGAGATGATTAATATATGATAAAGGGGGATCTTCCCAAGCTGGTTAACTATTGCTCAGTAGACCGACGGTCCTAAAGTTGTTGTTCCGAACTTGTACCTATATATACTTATCTTACAAGCTTATCTTGAAAATGTCGTAAGCGAGATTCAGGCATTTGTCAAAAATCTTGTATTGTATAATGGCTGCCGCCACAGCGTCACAAAAGAATGTTCAACCCATTTTATGTATAATACAAAACCGACCAGTTAATAATATTTAATTCTTCACGGCCCAAAAAGGGTATTAACTTAAAATTAATTTGATCATAAAAGAAGATAATAAGGTGATACCCGATAATATTGTAATCTTTACCAAACATGAAAAGCAACCCAAAATAATTTGAGTTGACGCAGAAAATTGAGGAGCTCCGATCTCAAATAATAGCAGTGGATTAAGAAAACCCATTTTGAGACAGGCAGCAGAGTAATATGATGACAAAAAAGACCACAGCAATAAAGATTACTATTACGCAAATAAAAAGTTCATTTTGCTCATAACAATATATACAACCTTGGAATACAAATTTGGAACCTCTGGGTCTGCGGAGGGACTTTGGTTCCCTCTGTATTTTGTACCGTATGTTTCATGGGGAGTGTTCTGAGGAATTGTTCGAGATGATACCGGCATCTTTTTTTTACCATCGCACCGCCCGCCACCGAAGTAGAGTTCATCCATACTACCTGGAGCCACTGCGGTCATCCACAGTGCGTTTCCAGAGGTCTTTTTTGCCACGTACCATCCGGCTATGGAATGAGCTCACCTCCACGGTGTTTCCCTTCCCTGACATGTCCTTCTTCAAACGAGGCTTGTGGAGAGTATTAAGCGGTAGGCAGCGGCTTGGCTCTGCCCCTGGCATTGCTGAAGTCCATGGGCTACGGTAACCACTCACCATCAGGTGGGCCGTATGCTCGTCTGCCTACAAGGGCAATAAAAAAAAATCCAAGGGTATTATTATTATCAATAAAAATGATCCACAGTCCACACGGAGTTATCATTCTAGTTCTTGTTCAAGGTAGGCTAATGAAAGAGTTTGACTTAAATTTAAAATTGGTTAATCATTTACCCTTTCCAAATTGTACCATCTGGTACCTGAACAGACTCTATTCTAACTAAAATCCTTATATCCATTCTCAATGCATTACTGCTGTCCATGAATCACGCTGATCACCAACGATCAGATGGCCTGCTTTCAAAATTAAAAAAAAAAAACACCCAGCACTAGCTTTCGTACAACCTAAATTCCTAATTCCAAATTAATTTAAACACACAATTTAAAAACATTTGAGAAGTTGTTGTTGTTGAGAATAAAAGAAATTGTTTTTACTTGAGCTTCAAATAATTAATCTAGATGTACTTTGAAATTCACAAAGAGAAACTGTTTGTGAAAGGAACTATTTCTATTTTATTTTAAGATTTCAGATTTACATTCCAAGCATAAATTTGTCATTTGATATCATCGATTGACCTGAAAATTAAAAGGCTTCGTTTTTGTATAGAAGCACCGTGTAGCTAGTTTCATTCGTTATTCTTTTTACTTAGATTTATCGAGGGTTTGATAGGAAACTAACTAAAAATAACTCACTTTTTAGTTGATTTGTATCTTACTTTATTAGATGTGTAGGCGATTTTTATTATTTATACTCTTATTAGGCAATCTATTTTTTCAGCGTAATTTAGACTAGTACTTTTTTTTCTTTCTGGTCAAGATTACAGACTATAATGTATGTAGTGACTGTCGCTAGAAAAACACACCTTGAAATATAATAATGCAACGAATCCACAATCTTTACGATTAAATTCAATTATTTTGATCTCGATATTGTACTTTTTACCTTCCTGAAAATATCTTCTGTACGAGAAATGATTCAATATAATGATTTACTAAATAAAAAAATCGTTTTTTCTAGTTCGTATCGCTTAATCGTATTTAATAAAAAAAACCTTATTAATTTATGTTAATTATATTCAGGAGACCGTGGATACTCATGTCAGTTTTTTTAAATAAAATTCTCCCAAACCTTTTATTAAACGTTATATTAATCATACCGCTGTCTAATAAAGTATTTCAATTTAATAATTTTTGAAATATAGTAACACTCTATTAACCTCAGAGCTTCTACGACTTTTACGAGGTTGTCCAAATTAGTTCATTAAATTGTATTTGTTTCTGTTGAATCCATAAAACTTGGCCCAGTTGCTTGCCTGTTTTAGATTCTGTTTTAGAAATTTTAATTAGTTTAATAGGCGATGATATAGATGTATTCTTTGATCAAGAATCACAGATTTCGAATTGGAAATTGTTTTTTATACGGCAAATATAAAAACAACTCTTTTCTAATTCCAAAGTGGTATTCACGGTTTAGTGAACTAATCTAATCACCTAAGCGATATTCCTCTTTTTATTCTTCTGAGTCGGTCTCTTCATTTCTCAAGGTCGTGTCTAGTTTGAAGTATTCGATCCACTATGCTTCCCCACGTCTTTCTATCCTCGGCGGTATCTATATCCTCTAACCCCATGTTTACAATAGTTAATTACAAAGTCGTGTAATTAAGTATTCTAAATCCGAAATGATTTGCGGGAATTTCAGCCTTTTGTGCATATAATATGGTTTTTAGTTGTTTAGGTCTGTCGCGGGGCATACAGTTTATTTACAGTTGGTAATTTTAAGCGACCCTAATATGGTGTAATTTGAAGAGCAGTCCAGTAATTCGAATACACCTGAAATTTATAAGTAACGAACGTTTGTGGCGGTAGCCATCATAGAACAGAAGATATTTGACAGTTGTTTGGGAGGTAATGACAAAGGGATAACCGTCGGTCTACTGAGCAATGTCAGCCGAAACCTTCTCTTTGTCGTTAACCTTCCAAGCGTTCACTGGTAGTAGGACCCCTAGTGACAGGATCTACGGGTAGATGTCATCGCCCTGCCAATATCTATTCCAAGCGATAATGCTTTCTAATTCACGGCCTTTTTTTATTTATTGCTTAGGTGGATGGACGAGCTCACAGCCCACCTGATGTTAAGTGGTTACTGGAGCCCATAGACATCTACAACGTAAATGCGCCAACCACCTTGAGATATAAGTTCTAAGGTCTCAGTATAGTTACAACGGCTGCCCCACCCTTCAAACCGAAACGCATTACTGCTTCACGGCAGAAATAGGCAGGGCGGTGGTACCTACCCGCGCGGACTCACAAGAGGTCCTACCACCAGTAAAATGTTAGCGATTGCTATTAAGATGTTAGCGACATCTGTGTGACCACTCACCTTGGGAGGTGAACCTCAAATTTTAGTTGTACTATATGACTGCTATCCCACCCTTCGAACCAAAAATAATTAACCCCCAGATGGCCCATGCGCCCGTGAACTGTTTAACATCAGTAAAAAAAGGGACCGAATGAAACTCGAACCTAAACGTGGAATTAAGACGCAACGGTTCATCCAAGTGTTTGTTTGCTTTGAATTTGCGGAAAACTATTCATAGATTACCCCCATGTTTACAATAGTTAATTACGAAGTCGTGTAATTGAACATTCTAAATCCGAAATTATTTGCAGGAATTTCAACCTTGTGTGCATGTAATATGTACATATTTTAGTTGTTTAGGTCGGTCTCGTGACGTACAGTTTATTTACAGTTGGTACTTTGATGAAGTGATTGTTTGTAAGGAATAAAATTACGTGTATATACGTAGTTTGATTCGGGATGGGATAGGCTTTCATTTGAAATTAAATTTTCATTTAAATCACATAGGTATAATCTGATGATGAAACACGATTCTATATTGCTTCTTACAAAGACATGAATATTATTAAAGTTCCAATTTAACAAAGTGTTCATAATTTTTTTTTAAATACTTTACTTACCGCCCACTAAATTAAAGTAAAGGCAGAAGCATGTCTGTCAGCACATAGTGGAGGGTTCTGTAGTCAGTATTAGTGTATATTGCTAATAATAAATAAACAGTTTGTAACAGAAAGTATACAATAAAAACAACATTTTTACTGTTAGTTTACAGAGCAATGTCACCCCTCGGGGGAACCTCTTTCCTTTGTAAGCGTTACGTAACGCGTTTTATGACCCTGTCATATAATCATAAACAAACGTGACCTTTAAATACAGCCATGTAAAGATTAAGCTCAGTTGCACTATTTACTATTCATTAAAATTATAATCTCCGATCTTTTAATAATGGCGTTGTAGACAAAATCGAAAAATCGAATGAAATGAAATACTTTTACTTACTGTCAACTTATATTAATAGCATGTTCACGAATGACTTTCAGGGTAAAGGAATAACTTCGTTTTATAAAAATCAACCCCGCAAAAAATCTAAATTGCGTATTTACTGGTGGTGGGGCGCCTTGTACTTTTTTGTTTTTTTTTTGCCCTTATAGAGGCATACGGGCATACGACCCACTTGATGATGAGTGTTTATCGTCGCCCATGGACGTCAGTAATGCCAGGGGAGAGCCAAGCTGCTTACTGTTAAGCACCCTTTACAAGCCTCGTTTAAAGAAGGACATGTCATAGCGCTCGGGAAACACCGTAGAGGGGAGCTCATTCCAAATCCGGATAGTACGTGGCAAAAGAGATCTCTGGAAGCACACTGTGGATGATCGCAGTGGTTCTAGGTAGTATGGATCAACTCTACCCCGGTGGCAGGCGGGGCGATGATGCGATCATCTCAAACAATTCCAATTGTGAGGCCACGCCTGTATGTAGATAATAACAATATATGTTTATAAGTATGCCTATTTCTGCCGTAACGTAGTAATGCGTTTCGGCTTGAAGGGTGGATAGTATCCATCGTACTGTAAAAACTGCGACCTTTGAACTCATATCTCAAGGTCGGTCGTGCATTTACGTTGTTGATGTCTATGGGCTCCGGCAACCACTCAACACTAGGAAAGTCGTGGGCTCGTCTACCTATTTAAGCAATTAACAAAAACGTACACACGTTTTTAGTAGTACAATTTTATTTCATCTGTCAGTTCAGTAATTTCATGTACATATCATTTCATTCATAATATTAATACGTGAAGCAAAAATTTTGTATCCCTTTTTACGAAAATTGCGCGGACGGAAAAGTATGAAATTTTCCACACTTATAGAGAATATAGAGAAGAAGTGCACAATGCTAATATTTTTTTTAAATAATGCATAAAAGATACATTAAATCAATAAAGAAAACATTACACACACTACATACCATGTATTTGACGCACACACGCATACTATTTATTGTCAAACTTTTGTTCTTGACGTCTGTTGTCAAATTGAGAATAGATTAAATATTGTTTGTCTTTGTTAATATTTTTTATAGTGTAGTCTTGGCGAAATTTGTGATTATAGAAGTATAAAATACAATCATAATAGTGTACAAACTTACAATTCCAAATTAATTATAGTCGAATTTCGACTACTGCGGGACCTCTAGTTCATATAATTTCAATGAGACCTATGTAGCAATTGATAAAACATAATATAGGGGTTTGCCTGCAAACTTCATCTACATAACATGTAGTGCCAATAGCATAGTATGGAATAGCTGACAAACGTACAAAATTGTTCAGCTTTAATTCCACTATACTACCGAATTCTACAAATAGATCGATCGTTCGAAATACGTTCGAATTTAGGGATTGAGTTGAAACTTTGTACATTGTAGGTACTCAATTTAACTTAGAGAGTGAGTGGTTTAAAAAATAACAATTTATGTTTGGACTTTTTTTTTATTGCTTAGATGTGTGGACGAGCTCACAGCCCACCTGGTGTTAAATGGTTACTGGAGCCCATAGACATCCACAACGTAAATGCGCCACCCACATTGAGATATAAGTTCTAAGGTCTCAAGTATAGTTCAATGATTTTCTCTTACAATGACTTAACTCTGGTCACGATTTACCCGATATCAAAAATAAATGCCTTTATTTTTCCAAAACAATTACTTTTGATAATATTTCAAAATTATATACTGAAGATATCTTTAAACAATACGCACTCCAAAAATCTTATTAAAACAAACATCTCACTCGTATATTTTAAGAAGCAACGTCACTCAAACAGATCAAACAAGGTTCTGTATATAATCTACATAATACATTATGATGTGACGGTGAAATTAATCCGACCTACCTTAGTTGGAACGTACGCAGTATTTAATGAAAATTAAACATGATATTAAACGTGATCTTCAAATAATAAAACCTTCGTTCGCGCATCGTTATAACAATTTCGCGACGTGACGGATTTTAATAACTCGTTTGATGATCATCAGAAATATGCTTCGAAGAATGCTAATTTATTAAGTACCCAGATTCTTCGGTATAATGAGAAAACAAAAGAAGGAAATTGTGGATGTAATAAAATTGTGTTTAGGAAAATCTTTCGAAAATTACCTTGTTGAATGGCCTTAAGCGACAGTGACCGCGTAGTATCAGATGAACCGAGTCTTTCTTTAACCGCAATACAATAAATAATACGTCTCGTTGTTTTTTTTTATAACTATCAACTATAGCTATCTGGTTTATTGTTTATTTTGAAATTGGCCGTAGTTTACACACATCTGAATTCCATATGCAAATTGATAAAAAAATGACAATCAATAAATTCAGAGTAACAATGGAAAATCCAATTTAAAAGTGATTTTACAAATAAATTTTTCATTATCAAATATAATTAGTTATTTAATCAATTATAATCTGACCAGGTGACTGATCCGTCTCTGTTGGTGGAATATCCGCCGACACAGTACGCCCATGGACTACTGTCGGCCGCCTTAGGTCTTCGGGTGCCTATGGGCAGGTCTATGGAAGTAAGATGCACAGCAAGAGTAGCACCGGCGTGGCGGGAAGGAAGCGAGTTTGTTGTGGGCAACAGCCAACTAGCTGATAGCAAACAAGCTATGTTGATTGGTAAGCAAGCAATGAAGTATCAATAATAATAAATAAATCAATAACCATAGCCATAGTACACGGTTTTATGTTTATATACTTCGATAACCACTTAAAGTTGTCGTAGCTTGAAGGATAAGACGTCCGGTGCATTCTTATGTAGCGATGTACCGATGTTCGAATCCCGCCGGCAGGTACCAATTTTTGCAATGATAAGCTTAATAAATTAATGTTCACGATTGATTTCCACGGTGAAGGAATAACATCGTGTAATAAAAATCAAACTGGCAAAATTATAATTTGCGTAATTACTGGTGGTAGGACGCCTTGCTAGTCCGCACGGGTAGGTACCACCACCCTGCCTATTTTTGCCGTAAAGCAGTAATGCGTTTCGGTTTGAAGAGCGGAACAGCCGTAGTTAAAAGTGAAATGTCTATGGACTCCGGTAACCATTTAACACCAGGTGAGCCATTGGCAACCTGAGAGTTTCTTCTTCGGGAAGACCTTGTCTGCCTACATACCTAAAAAACATGATAAAACATTATTATTGTTATTTAAGTGCTAATTTTGCATTAAAATGAATTACACCTAAGCGTTGTCTGATGATAAGTTGACTATCAAATTTCGTAATTTAAATCAACAAACAAATCATACAAGAAAGAGAAGACTTATAATCAAACCACAAAAAGGTTAAGCGTCATACAAATCAGATACCTATCCCGTAACAATTTGTGAACAGGAAATAGATCGAAGCAACTAATAGAGGTCTCTTGCTATATAATCGCATTACCCTTATTTATTACATAATATAGTTTCAGATGACATTATATTGATATTATAATTGATTTTTTTTTAGAAATTTAAAAACGAACGTTTTTCAAAGCCTACGTTAATAATAATTATGTAGATTCACTCGATGTGCCAACATATTTTTTAAATAATAATTTCTTTTAACTTCTTGTAACTTTTTTAAGTGCGGTAAGTTATCCTTCCCAAAGAACAAAAGTTTTTTTTTTATTGCCTAGATGTGTGGACGAGCTCACAGCCCATCTGGTGTTAAGTGGTTACTGGAGCCCATAGACATTTACAAAGTAATACTGAGACCTTACAACTTATATCTCTATAGTTACAACATCAAGTAATACTGAGACCTTACAACTTATATCTCTATAGTTACAACGGCTACCCCACCCTTCAAACCGAAACGGATCACTGCTTCACTGCAGAAAATAGGCAGGGTGTTGGTACCGACCCGTGGACTCACAAGAGGTCCTACCACCAGTATTTACGCAAATTATAATTTTTCGGGTTTGATTTTTATTACACGATGTTATTCCTTCATCGTGGAAGTCAATCGTGAACATTTGTTAAGTACGTTCATTAGAAAAATTTGTTCCTGCTTGCGGGATTCGAACACCTGTGCATATCGTTCAACACGAATGCACCGGACGTCTTATCCTTTAAGCCACGACGACTTAATTATATAAGTACTATAAATAATAATAAAAAGACGCATAGTAAACCTGCACGAGTACATATAACAACCAACTTGCATATTTTGACGCGAAGCAAGTATTTCAGATTGATGTATTGGAATCGAAGCACTGAAATTTAAACTTATATTTCAATATGAACATTGAAAATTGTGAAATCTATTTGTTCCAATAATAGCTAACATTAATTTTGTCTCCTGTCTAGCTTATCTTTTTTTTTTTCAATTCTAAAACTAGTGCTGAAACATTGCACCTAAATTATTACGTACAACAACAACAACAACAACATTATTAAAGGCAGAGCGATTTTATAAACGTTTAAAACAATGTTACCGAAAAATCGATGGACGAATTAATAGTTAGGGGTGGAGTTAAAACTCCATTTGGCATTTACATAACTAAGCTTTCAGGCAAAGCTAACACGCTCGGCCGACTTACTATGAAAAATCAATAACATCCTTATAATTCTATGTTTCAAGGAATCGTGAAAGTAAGTACTTATAATTGGCTCCTCGCTCTTATTCTAAACATAGCTTTCTCTGATTTTGAGGAAAAAGGTTTTAAGAGTAAAAACACTTGCTCAGGGTTTGAAGTTTATATACAAGAAATTCCACGGTTTCATTTCGCGATTATTTTAATTGCTACACATCTACCATATGTCTCTACAAACCACTTCATACATCTATGTAACTGGCTTAAAATTACCATAACATGACTGCAATGGTCACCATAAGAAAGTATATTTAATTTTGCCATTAACCATGCGACTGCGTTTAGGAGAGACAAAACTCTACTACCATTGACAGCAATAAAATAATATAAGGTCTCAGCTAGAGTTCGGCTTTTTCGATAGGAACAAATAATTGATTCGTGGTAAAAAAAGCCAAAATGGTGGTACCAATCCTGAGTTGACAGTAGTTATGGGTCATGAAAAATGAGACGATTCATTCATTTGACTGTTTTTGACGATTACAGGACAAAAAAAAATTTGTAATCATCGCCGACTAAGTTATATAAACGGGTTTTGTTTTACATCAAACGTAAAATAAAACAATCATAGGTTTCAACTTAAAGAGAACCAGCCGTATAATTGGGTAATATAAATTATTATTGCAAGAATCACTAAAAGCAATGATTAATTCAAAACTATACAGTCATTTACAATACAAGAGTATTTCTCAGAATCGATCATACGTTTTATTAGCCTACCTCATGATTAACTAGATCTAATTTTAGATTAAACTCTATGTTCATGCATAAAGATTCTAAGAAAAGGGTGAGGTTAATGAATATTATACCTATAAAAAATTCTTAGAATAGCTTTTCAACGCTGGAGCACTTGCAATGAGTCTCAAGTTGCAAAGCAACTAATGCATTACAGGAGCGAATATATGCCAGTACGAATTTTTGAGTTCAGAGTCTTAATTGTATTAGAAATATAGTTAAAGCCACTATTACGGATGTGCATATACCCAAATATTTTGATAAACAGCTTCCACAGTATACATAAAGTAGTTGCAGCCTAAAGCATAATTTGTTCAATTTTTTCGATGTACTCATATCAAGCGACTATGCCGATTTAAAACCTCGCAGGTAATCACCAAGTTTCTTTTCTTGAGAGGTGCTCACGATGATAATTTCCTAGATGAAAGAATAAAACCGTGTATTAAATATGAAACCCACCGGATTTATAATAGGACTTACTCCGCGTGCGATTGGTAGGTAGCTTCCACTATCCCGCCTGTTTCTGAAACGGGACAGATATTTAGGCTTTAACTTATTTCCTCAGTGTAGACGACTTCGTTCTCATTGTTATGTCTATGGGCTCCTGTAATCAATTAGCACCAGATGGATCATGATCTCTTTCACCGGTGGATTTGGATTGTTCTTAATTTTTTTACTACAATTGACAGTTGTGTCCAAAAACTATCTACTAAGTGGTTACTAGAACTCATTACCATTAAAAAGTTTTTGCCGCCAGTCAGCTTGAGGCATGAGTTTTCAGTCTTAGTCTCATAATACTGTCCCACCCTTCAGATCCAAACGCATTACTACTTAGATCGAGTTCAAATTAATAATCTACTACTGTTCATTACATCATTTTGTCCGTCTTATGATTGTCTGGAAGATTAGGGACAAAGCCGTCGATTGAATGATAAGAAAATGTTTAAAAATCCTAGATTTTTATTTATTACCCTTATATTATTAACATTTTTATTGTTATTCGACTTATTTAGAGTTTCTCGAATCGACATATTAACCAAAATATTAAGAGATAGCTTTTGCCCGCGACTTCGTCCGCGTGGAATAGTTCACAAATAATACTTTATTTTAGAACAAAGTTGGTTAGCATAAAAAACCTTATAGTGAGCCAACCTTAACATATAGACATATGCTGTTCCGAACTTTTTTTTAGATCTTTTAAAGGGGAGTAATTCTGTCATACATTATTTTAGCGAAACTTTAACCGTTTGTGCAGCGCACGCAGCGGAAACTCTCAAAAGGAAAAAATACCCCGATTTTGAAACATTCTTTATTGGTGCTCCGCTTGTATTGGTATTAGCGTGATGCTATATAGCTTATAGCCTTCCTCGATAAATGGGCTATTTAACACTGAAATAATTTTTCAAATCGGACCAGTAGTTCCTGAGATTAGCGCGCTCAAACAAACAAACAAACTCTTCAGCTTTATAATATTGGTGTAGATAATGTTTTATGTATGACGTAACGAATTCCCCACTGGAATGACGTGCTCTCTAATGTGTTCCTGATCGCTGCCCAATTGATAAGAGTTTGTCATTGTGCGAACAGAAACGTTATTTGTACAAAAAGGTTGTTAACCAAATCTATTAATACAAATTGGCTTGCCCATGACTTTAGCTTTGTCCGACAACTAACTTGTAACTATACTTGAGACCTTAGAACTTATATCTCAAGGTGGGTGGCGCATTTACGTTGTAGATGTCTATAGGCTCCAGTAACCACTTAACACCAAGTGGGCTGTGAGCTCGTCCACACATCTAAGCAAAAAAAACCCTCAAACGGTATAATTAATAAAATACGTACGGTGTTGACTAAAGACTAAAGACAGCAAGCTTCATACTTTCAGAACACAGCCTTCATTTTACGTTGACAAAAACAATTTATTTAACTTTAAAGAAATTCTATAATACCAAATATTTTTCTGCATTTTCTGCTCTAGTTGAGTACAGCATAAAGATCACGATTTTGGATTTACTCAGTACAGTCAGTCAGTACTTACATAGTTTTGTCAAAAGTCAATCATTAAGAGCATGCCGTTCGTCCAGCCATTCCCAAATATAACAAAATGCTGCCTATGGTAATACAAAAACATATTGTGCCCGGAAATACACTATCTTAAATCGCAACCATAATTTAATACCGTCGACCTATAACTACTTGCTTTCGTAACAATGTTATAAACGGACGTTGATCGAGATATCTCGGACCATTAACTTGGGAATAGCAATGGCTACCTAGCGTGTCTGTTCAGAAGTTATGTAGCTATCAGTTGCGATTTTAATTACTTTTAGGGGCGTATCCGATACCTTATTAGAGCGGAATTTCGGCTATTCCGAGTCTCTGGAAATCAGGAATTTTCAATACGACATAAGATCGAAGTTTCATTGGTATTGCATAACGACTGTACTACCCTTCAAACTGGAACGAGTGATTGCTTAGTGGCAGTGACGACTGGATTTCAAAAGCAACGTTCAGCTATAAATACCATTTTTTTGTAATTGCATTGCCATTCGAATGTATTATAATTAACTATTTATCACTTTTATAGTCGTCCGTGACCACGAAAACTGTAAAATATTTGAAAGGTCGGAAATGATATAATGACAATGACAAAAAATCTAAAAGAATGAGATTAAACCGTAAAAGTAGTTTTATTGTATCTACGATTCGCGGAAGCCGAAAAAAAATCGGTGTGCTTAGTGCGAGGTTTCTAACGTTCTCGACAGCGTAAAAGTTAACCCAGTTTTGTATGCAGTTGGAACAGCGCCCCTAGCGACAAACGCAGGCAAACGAACCCATTCCATACAACTAAGAGTTAACTTTTACGTTATCGAGAACGTTAAAAAGCTCGCATTAAGCACACAGTACAGTTAGTCATACAGATTGATTTGTACATACGTGTTAATTCAATAAATCGACTTAATCATTATATAAGTGAGTTCAGCAATGTCCAATCAGAGAGCGCCTTGACTTCCATGTCTGTTCTCAAAGGATGAAGGGGAAACAAAACGGATTTCCTTCAAGTGGCTTATCAAAAAACACGGTATAACTCAGATTATTTGTTTCAGTGAGGAGTGGCGTCGGGACGTCTACATTAAGTGTAATGCTGTTAACACTTTCTCTCGTCCTGTTTCTCAAATCCCTAACGCAATCAGAAACGTGATAAATTATCTCCCATCTTTTATTAACGTAACGTGATTTAGATGCGAACGCGAGATTTGGATCGTATGCCTCACGTACGAGGCGCTACAAACAAACAATTATGTAGTTAAGTCAGTTATAGTATTTTCTTTAAGGAAAGTTTATTTACGTATAAGAACTAGTTTGTGATCGTACGTGTTTTATTTTCTTAGTTGTAATGATTGCATACCTGCGCGTATGTTGGATGATGTTGTTTTTGTATATTCTCGAATTGAAAGATTACGACTAGATGCGGCTTTTCGTTGGCTTTTCTCGAAATTAATTGTTGGTTCGTTAAAAATTTGTGTAATTTCGAGAGACAGCTGACGACAAATACGGATTGAAGTTTTTTGTGGACGCTACCAGCAATGATTAAATTTCAAAGAAATATTTTTACAGTACATAATACATATTTATTTTAGTTATTTTATTTTTATCACACTAATATAAGGTAAGGATATGTAAATATCGTTTAGGAACGCCTTCTTAGATTATATCTTAAACTGATGTAAAAATTAAAAATAACATTAGGGTGTTTTTTTAAGAGAGAATTTTAATTGAAAGTTGTAATTTGATTTAAATAAAATATAAGAGAAATTTATTTCATTAGTAAATTGTTCACAATTTTTTTCATTGTAAAATGTAAATACATTTGTTCTCTGATTCAATCCTAATGATATTTATACATAAGATCGAAAATTCTACAAATCATGATGGAAAAATGAATTGAAATTTTCACAAAAAATATTTTTGGAAAATCATAAATTTAGATCGAGGAAGCTACATATCAACATGACAAAAAAAAACGTTAACTTAATTAGTAGTAAATTTTATAGATCCTTATTTTCTTATTAAATTATTTTTCAGTTTTCTGAATATTTGTTGCAATGTTATAATGATGTTGACGTGATTATGCAAAAGTGTCGCAGCAATCTATCCCAATCGAACATTTTTAAATATGATACCGCGAAGAAGTTGCATCCATAAAAATACAACAATTCTTATTCTCATAATCCTCTCGCAGGTCTGCTGGAAGAGATTTCTTAAAGAAATAAGCAGTGCCTTTGTACATAATTTTCCTATTACTCTGTACTATGTTTTCTTTTTTGTGTGTACATAAATAAATAAATAAAATAAAATAAAAAAACAATTGACGATATAAATAAAATATACATACGTTACCCAAACACGAAAATTTAATAAATTGTCAGGATCCGAAATAATTACTAAAGTAAATTTGCATATTATTAGGTGTGTATTTTCACGTACGTGAACAATGTTCAAATGATCGTTTGCTTGAGACATTTCTGCATGATCGCATCCATTAGTATCGTAAACATATCCCCTCGGCATATTCTCTTGTAAATATGGAATCGATTTCGCTTTTGTTGTCAATGTGTAATATAATTAGTCATTTATTGGCATGATTCTGTTGAAATAAAGAAACAAATTTGTTGATAAATTAATAGGTTATTTTATTTATCCTTAACCGATTTTTCAGGCATCTTAGATCGACCACAGCATAATATCTTTATCCTGAAGCCGTAGACATTTTATTTAAAAATTACCCATGCTATAATTTTTACATGCGCTATGGGTACCAGAAAAAAATACAAACACACACGCACGAGATACCCAGATTTCGAAAACTAAACATCTTTGATCACGAATCGGCCGACATACTATCATAGTACCAATCCCGTCAGCGCTGCAACAGGACAACAACAACAATAGGATACATCACAAAAATTCCAGAATGTCGAAGGCCTTGCTCTTATTTTATATACAAGAGGAATATTTATAAGTTTGTTTGTAGATATCTTTGAACACATTCTGCGTTCGCGCGTCACGTCGCTTATCCAATAAAGTTGAAACTTATTACAATACCTTTTTTTTATTTTTTTTATTGCTTATATGGGTGGACTAGCTCACAGCCCACCTGGTGTTAAGTGGTTACTGGAGCCCATAGACATCTACGACGTAAATGCGCCACCCACCTTGAGATATAAGTTCTAAGGTCTCAGTATAGTTACGACGGCTGCTCCACCCTTCAAACCGAAACGCATTACTGCTTCACGGCAGAAGTAGGCAGGGTGGTGGTACCTACCCGTGCGGACTCACAAGAGGTCCTACCGGTAATAATTACGCAAATAATAATTTTGCGAGTTTGATTTTTATTACACGATGTTATTCCTTCACCGTGGAAGTCAATCGTGAACATTTGCTAAGTACGTATTTCATTAGAAAAATTTGTACCCGCCTGCGAGATCGAACAACGGTGCATCAATAACTGTATTCAAAAACTCAGTGTATTGTTTTGTATTACTTGAAAATCATAGCGCAACCTTTGGATTATTCATTAATATCGTATAAAAACCCTACCACTACAAGAGAACACACTCATTCGAACTTGAGGTATGATGTCTCTTTGTCTCTGTAGTTTTAGCCACTATAGCGTCATCCTTCAAGAGTTCAGGTCTTAGACAGAATGGTATTAAATAACCGCATTGTCTACCAATTACGCATAAATTTGAGCATAAAGCTTGATTTTTAACACTCTAAATTTTTCTTCATCATGTACCCAAGCAATTTCAACACCTTGACTAACATCATCATCATCATTATCCTGCCCTTCTCCCAGTCACCTGGGGTCGGCGCAACATGTTTTCTCCTTCCATACTCTTCTATCATATACCATTTCTTCGCTCACTCCCCTCCTACCCATATCGTCTTTCACACAATCCATCCATTTCTTCTTAGGTCTACCTCTTCAACACCTTGACTAACGCAAAAATAAAACTAGTATTTTGGTCTAATCAACAAACAATTTACAGTTTTAAGGCTTACACGAGTCGTACACATAAATGTAAGTTGTGGCTTTGTCAATATTGAGTTCATCGACAAATAATACCTTGACCACGTGACCACGAAAACTGTAAAAGGATTCGTAACTTCAGCATATAATATGACAATGACAATAAAAAACGCAAAATCAAACCGTGAATGTAATTGTAATGAAATTAGTTAACTCCTAAAAATTCTCCAAATAAGAAACTACCGTAAGCTAGTTGAACATGATGCTTAAAATATATATTATGTACTTTAATAAAAATAATGTGTCGTACACAATGAAATCTAAACGAGATGTAAATTCACATAAAGGACAAGCGTCTTACCCAAAAATGCATTTCCAGTCTTATTACTTCGAAAACTCGTCGAGTTAAAAGGGTAAATCCCTCTTCGGGGTCCACAAAGCATTTCATCCTGACCATCTTGTACAAATCGTTTGGGCTCGTATCTTTCCCTTTTGTCAGCTTTCTTATACTGTGTACCAGACTTTTATTATATTTAGGAAAGTAAATTGATCTTCTCAAATATATTGTGGATGTTATTGAGATAAGCAATGGGTTATGTGAAGTCTTTGTTTTCGTTAATGGAATCTCGAATAATATGAAAAAGTAGTTTTCATTATTTGTCTTGTCGTGTTTTCTTTACCAAGATACATAACATAAATTTAATATTAAATGAAGCATTCTTTTGGGTTTGACGTTATTATAATTTTTTCCTTAAATAGGCATGCGAGTGCTCAATCAAAATAGTCAGCACCTTCCAATAGTATCGGAAAAAGGCATAACTGTGTATGTTGCTGCTAAATAAAACCAAAATCTCCTTAAACCTCAATTGAAGAAACTACCATAGTGCTTAGGAATTGTCTCACAACTCAATCTCAACGGACTAGAGAGAAATATCCTAAGTCCTGCATTGTGCAAATTATTAAATAATAAGTATTTTATTGTTAAATATGTAAGTTGAAGGGAATGATTTAAAATTAAAAGTCTACTAAAAACTGAAAGTAAACAAAAGTCAATTCTAACAAATTTCAGACATCAAAGCACGTAATATGACAATAATTAGTTCCATACTAAAGAACAATCTTAATAACTTTATAACTGACAATTCGAGTTCAAAGAATATCGCTCATTTAACATTCCGAAGCCCGGATAAAATTAATACAACAATGGCTTATGATTTTCCGTCAACTGAGAAGAAGACATCACTTTAATGAAAACGTCACTGAGACTCCGACGTTGTGGAATTTCGCTCGTCAAACAAAGTATTGTTGACAGCGGAAATCCATTTATACGGAAAGCTTGCAAACTTTCGTGACAAAAATGGAAAATATTAACAATAAAACAAGAAGTTCTGAACTAGATGAAATTAACGCGCAGTGTTCTAAATATTTCATTATGAAAACCAGCTCTTTTCTTTGATATGATTCAAAGAAGCCTTAGAAATAAAGTCACTATGAATTGACTTCATTGTAAAATCCATCATGTCTCCAGCGAACCGAAAGCTAAAGCCCTCAAAAATTGGCAATTGTGTTGAAACAATTTATACAGAGTGTTTTACAAAGCCAGTAAAATACCAAACATATCAGGCCGCTTCGACGAAACAATAACATTTTAACGTTCCGTGTTATTCTTTCTTTTATTTGAAATTGGCTCTGGCTCTGATCTATTGATGCGTAAAAAGTGCCTACACGCTTCGAATGGAGCTTTGATAAAATCGGGGCCGATTAGGGCGCCCTTACACTACACTTTTTATTCGTACTTTATTCAAATTGACACGAGGGAACCGACGGGGCGTAAAAGCTGATAGGCTGGTAGTTTAGTGTCTGCCAGCACTTGATAGTGACCAGTTTGGCCTGGACGGCGGCGAAATGGCCAGATAATCTGATTACAGCGCAGTGTGTATTGTCACGCAATATTGCCTAGAGATAAGTTTTAACGGGATAGTTGGCTTTTATACTGGAACCCTTGTCACTGTTACAGCTTATCTACCTTACAATACAACATTACTCAAGGGACGTAATCAAGAATCCCACCGAAGTGCTCACTTATCAGCCAGTCAGTTTAACAAATGACAAACTATGACACAACTAATTTACGTAATTCGTCCAATGTTACAGGTTTATTGTTAAGCGAACGGAGAAATACTCCTATTATATGACAGCAATGACAGTGTTATGTTACATAGGTTGTCAGAGCATTGGTTGCCCTAGTACCGTTTGACTCTGATGGCTGTACCATGCGGTCCAGATTCGAATTCCGATTTGAGTCCATTTCGTACATTTGGTATTCAAGGTTTGTCTGTATTTGTTCTGGTATCTTTTTAGTACTCATATTTAATACTGAAAAAAATAATTATAGTTTGAAGCAGCTGAATATGTAATGTCCATTTACCGAACAAGATTCAACTGAACATACATAAGGCTCTTTCAGAATTGCGTGCATCAAGGATGATGTTTCGATTTTTTTCTGAAAATATTCTAACCTCTTCTCGTGGAATTACGGACACGATATTAGACCATTGATTCCAAATGCCATACATATGCCTGATTCAAAAGATTTCAACACTAGTGACATTAATTTAGATTTAAAATTCGTTGAAGTTTATAACACCTTGAACAAGAAATTGTCAATTTCCATTCTCTCGACATGCTCCTCTCGGCACGATATTAGTCCACAAAGAACCTAATTCGTCGCATCTGGTGCTCTGACAAAGAAGTGGATATAGTAGAAGAACAGCGCTGAATATGGCCGAAATTAAAATATGTTAACTTCCCAGCCGTTTGATAATGTACTATGAATATTATTTTCTTCTCGGTAGGTTTTTTTTTGTGAATGTCATAATAACATTATTTTATAGATCATAATATTTTTTATAGAACTAGCTTATATACAAAATTCGCATTGTGAAATGCTATAGTATTTTTGTTATTGTATCATTCTATTCATCTATCCTTTACTATGACGATCGTCAGACGATTTACAGTTGGCCGTGGCCTTAGTACATAGTATAAAACAAAGTCGCTTTGTCTGTCCCTACATATGCTTAAATCTTTAAAACTACGCAACGGATTTTGATGAGGTTTTTTTTAATAGATAGAGTTATTGAAGAGGAAGGTTTGTATGTATAATAAAATCCATTAAATAGTGGAGAAATCAATAATAAATTACAGTTTTCGAATCGAAGCGTGCATTCGTATGCTAGTAGTATCACTAAATATACTT